TAATAAATGGGTTTGCAGTAAATAGACAATAAGTAAATTGCATATAATTATTATTATTAATTAAATGCTAATTAGATAATAAATGGTAAAATACTAAAATAGAATTGGTCAATCTTTTTCCCTTTCATTTCATTCTACTTCTTTATTTTTTGAAAATAATTTTAGTAAATATGTACAGCTGAAAAAAATTTACTTTATTTAGGAAAACTGCCTTGACTAAATTCTTGGACGTATTAATAATATCAAACTAATTACATTATAATATTGCATTGAAGAAAAATAAATAAAAAGTAACTAAATAAGACGGATTTATTTTTGCAAAGTTGGTAGTTGGCAAAGAAAGGAATCTGTTTCTACCTATAATACCAGTACAGTAGCCTTTTCTTAATTAAATTAAATTAAAATTTTTCATGAAGTTTACTGATTTTATTATTTTAATAGTAAATCACAAATTCTCTAAAGTAAAGAGAAGCTGACCTCTTACTATTTTTCTCATTTTTTTGTTAGATGTTAACTAAAATGATCAAAATTTCAGGTAAACATAATCTGAGAAGTAAATTTAAATTGATCTTATTTTTTGCTACATTTGCAAACAAAATAAAATTTACTACCTGGAAAAATAAAACCAACGGAAAAAATATATTTGCATACATTCCATGTAGACTCATTATTCAATCCCTTTTCATTAAAGTAAAGTGAATTGGGTTAACCTAATTGATAAAAAGGGTTTAACCACTTATTGTGATTAATGAATTTCACTTTTACAGCCAAATGTCGTGACTAGCAATTTACAACAAATGAAATTCAATTATAAAGGTATATTTTATAAAACATAAAACATTTTTTTAATGTTAAATTTTTATTTGCTTTGCTATTTGGAACAACACCATGCACACAAAAATTACGTTAGACACCAAAACGACAATTGCAATTATAAAAATCTATTACAAAATTTGTTCCACAATTATGTAGTTCAATCATTTAAAAAATCAAAATAATAAATAAGCGTATAAGTAAAGACAACAACAGGCGAATTGACTCAATGTTAAAACATTTCATGCCATATTAGTACCGGTAATAACAATAATCTTAATGTTGTTGTTATCTATTGTGATTATTTATAGACTCATCAATTAATAGCATTTAATCACGAAACTAAAGTTAACACTTATTTCCTTGACATCCTCATTTTACCACATTAAAGAATTAAAAATGTAATTAAAAGTAATTTGTGTTGTTGGAGACTTGGACATCACTTTCCACTCATGCAACGCAAAGTAGGAAAGTCCATGATAAAAACACTGTGCAACAAAACATTAAAAATCACCGAAGGGGATGTACAAGAATGTCTAAGGAAATACGAGGGTTTATGGGGAGGTTTATCTTATAAATTAAGACCATTGCGCAAGCGCAAAGTTAAGACGCATTTGTTTACGTGATTACCAACACATTGTGTAAATCGCTAGTTAAAATTTTATGTTATTATGGTCGATATTTTCTTAATAAAAACGGTTGTAGTACACTTCTCTTATCTTTATATTCTGATGTAAACTCAAGTTTTATGCCTTCGTAGTACTCTTAGTTATTGTAAATCAGTTATTATTAGCTATAAAATAATACATTACTTCATACTTGTAAAAAGCAAAATTCGTAAAAATGGCCAAATAAATTTTTATTATTTTTTTTATGAAAAACGTATTATTCAAATTGCATAAAAAAAATACAGTAACATGAGTATAATCTACCATACGCCAAAAATAAATCAAAAAATTCTTCCGTACACTTTTTTTTATAAAAAAATAAAATGACCAAAAATAGAGGTTTTTTAAATTTATTTTTAAACGACACAGACAAAAAATTTGAAATTAATATATATTGCTGCTAAGGCCATCAAGCAGTTTATGATCTTAATTCTTTTCAGAATTTTTGAATAACGATTTATTTTTTTATTCAGAATAGTTCAACTTTAATTAAAACTTGTGGTGGTCTTTAAATTGTTATTTTTAAGCACTCTTTCAACTAATTAGGACTTTTTTATTAGTAACAAAATATCTAATATTGATTGAAGTTTAAGGTATGTAAAAGGTTGATGTATGGAATATGTTTTACGAATGGGTGTTTGGTGTACAAAACTTAAGCCTTGAAAATTACCAAAATAAATTAAATCGATGTAAAATTTCTTGGTTTTGCTTTCACATTGACCATAGAGTCCACATGAGAAATTACTTTGATAAACCGGAATCTTCCTAACTTTTCTACGCTGAAAGGAAAAGTCGATTATCTAACACCACCGACCGGATCAAAGGTGCATCTTGTTTCTCTTCACGAGATAAAATTCCGAAACACTGCTTTTACTTTAAATGAAACTAACAACCGATAATTACGCTTGCGTGTCGATATTATCATTGATCTTGAATCACAACAAAATCTTTGAAAAGCATGCCGGCGTTTTTTTTTTTCATAATTTCGAAAGACTGTTTATTCCCAAGGCTGAAACCTGTCACAGCCACACCTCATTGTTTTCAAAAATGAAAATAACTCAACAAGAACAATATTGTATCTTCCATGAAAAAACTCGACCGGTGAGTAAAGTTATGCACGTGCGAAAAGAAAGTTGTCTTTCTGTTTATAACCTCGGTTATATAAACACAAAATCGATTAAGGAGCAATTTTACTACGAATACTAGTGACGTATTAATTAAAAAGTGCAAGTGAGTGATAGTGAAAGATGCTGGCGGGTTCTTTCGCAACGTGGATAAATGTCGTCCGCAGATGAAGAAAATCTCTCTTTGTTCCGCTACTTTCTACATTTTGTTTATTTGATAATTTTTCGTGAAATTAAATTCAACCACCGAAACAAATTCGTTCGTCAACACTGTTTAATTGTATTCAACTCATCGCAAAAGCTAATAGAATTGCACCGACTCGGAAGTCATTATTACCAACCTAAATTGGCATCCCATGTACTTTAGCAAATATCTGCATAATTAATAACGCTGCAGCAAAGTTACGACAATTCCTTAGTGTGCACCACAAAAGGTTAAACCGAAAATTAACCATGACATTGACCGGAGTCTCACTCATTGAAATTAGCTTGCCATGCACGAAAATTATTAATTAATTTTTTATTTGTCTTAATAATTAGGACCACCTGATTAGAAACCTCATCTACATTCAGTTATTGCAACAGATACTAAATCTGTTTAGAGAGAATCTTGTCTGTTTTTAATAAATAAAGTTGGTCCAATTTATAATTAAATAATATAAGAAGCACTTACTTGTGTTTATTATTTTTTTGAAAATAAAGTTATAATCCTGTAACTAAGTATACTAGTCAAAACACATACTAAACAACACTGCGCACTTTTGGAGTACAATCACTGATTTTTGTACCACAAACTGCGATTCCTCATGTTGTTGCTTGTGACGAACACAACCATTAAATAATTGTAATGCCTTCAGTCAGAAAGTAAACTGAATACTAGTTGGTTATAGCGGAACGAAGTTGAAAGTGGAGGAGAAATGGTAATGGTACTGCTTTAGTACCATCTCATGTTCGGTTACATTGATCGGATTGAACCGATTTCGTAATAAATGATACAAAATTTAAAAAAATTGACATTTAACTCACTGGGGTCATATTTTGAGGTGCATAATGACTGTTACCATTAAAAGAAAATCATTTCCTTTCCTAGATAGAAATCTGTGCAAAAAAACATAATAATGTTAGAAAAATAGATTATGATTAGCTATGCAAATTTCCGGCTTTTTTGTTATCTTTTACAGGAAGAATAATTTGATTTTAATGATTTTTTATAAAATTATTTAGTGTGTGATTTGAGTTGTCACGTGACCAAAATTGAGCAAACCTGAAAGTAGTAAAACGACTTGTAAAACGTGTTTACCTCGTTATCTATCAAAAATATTATTTCTGTTTTCACTGATGCAAGAAAAAGAGCGAATAAACCCATTGTGGAACAAACATTAAATCAAAATTTTCAAATTGACCGACAAATTACAGTACAAAACAGTAAAAACATTTTAAAAAGAGTTGATAAATATTGTGAAATATACGTTAAATCAAAATTTTCAAATGACCGTCAAATTACAGTACAAAATTTTTATGGAGAGACACAGAAAATTAATTTTTCAATAAATCCCTACTAATTTCTTAAAGAATTTTATATTTTATTTTAATTAGTTTTATACAACCAAGATAAATTCAGCAATTTGCACTAGTTGTTAAATATGACAGAGTAGAAAATAGAAAAAAAGGCAAAATCCGAAGAGGAAACTCAACAACTCAAGTGTCGGATTTATGAAGCGAACCGAAATCAGATGAGAAAAGACTTGAGAAAACTCCCTTCAATTTTAAAGTTTAGCGTTAGTTGAGTAATACGGTAATAGCATTCGTGTTTATTTTGCTATTGTCTTAGTTCCTCTTATATAAGAACAATGAGGAAAAGAGTTTATCCTCAAGCTGTTGACATGAACAATTAATTGATTTGTGGCGACTCTTGGGGAGAAAATTTGAAAGTTTTTGCTCAAAAAATCGTCTAATTTAATTGTCAATATTTTGTTATTTCTCAAATAAGAGAATTTGTGAGCTTATCCTTGCTTAGTTGTTTAAAAATTCGAGACGAGTCTGACCCAGCGACAATATTACCAATTTTGTTATGAAACGTCTTGTTTATTGGAATCTGTAGGAAAAATTGTGCAATGCAACTTCAATGGTTGAACAAACAGGTGCTTGCGAAATTTCACCTGGTACAGATTAAATTGTCTCAAAAAACAAATTCGATTTTAATTTGGAAAATCTGTGTCAGTAATAGCCGTATGTAACTTTCAAAGTACCTTCATGTGCAGTGAGGGTAATTATTTTGATCTAATTTGCAATATTGCTTTAGGTACAATTAAATTGTGCAATTATCTAATTAAATATCAAATGCTTAAGTCGTTTAATTACTAAACCAAAATTCTGTCGCGTTCAGACCAAGAGACAAATATTTCCAACGTTTGGGTGTATTAACAATTATAAATAAAATAACCACGCTTTATAATTATTTTATGATAATGACACGTGAAATTTTTTAAATCTTAATTTTAGAACAGCCAAATTGCTTAGATTAATATCAAGCAGAGAGAAAGTTAAGTGAAAATATCGTCCAATATCGTGCATATAACCATAATTTAGAAATAATAATTTTTAAGTATTTAAAAGTTACGACTTCCTAACATTATTTCCAATTATCTTGACGCTTCTTATTGGTTGAGAAGGTTTCTACATATGCTTAAATTTGTACGTGATTTCTTTTAAAATGTTCTCTATGGTGGCAGAAACGTTTCATTTGTTGATTGGACGTTTTAGTCATCAAGGAAACGTACGAAATTTCTAATAGCCGGCAGCAAGCAAACATTAAAAAATCATAATAATAAAATGTAAAAAAATAATTAAATGTTGTTTATTTTTTCTTATGAAAAATAAGGGCAGATATTATAATGTTTTTAAAAGGAATTAATAAAACACAAATATTTTTAAAATGAAGTCTTTATTTATAGCATAGAAACATCAGTCTCTAAGTCCTTACATCTTTGTAATTTTTTCCCTAAGAGTTTGCCCGTTTTTTCGTCTTCATTTATCGTTTGCATCATTCTTGATGTCCCCAAAGTGTCGCTCCCTCTATGATTCTTTTTCCACTTTTGCAACCAAACATGTTGAAACTGAAACAAACAAATCAAGCTAAAAACTCATTATATCCCCCAGCATCACCTGTGCATTCAGTCCGATGTAAATGACAGGATTATAACAAATACTGCTCTTGGCTAACAATGCCGGAATCACCGCTATGCCCGGAGTCACTAACGAGGCATCCCCAAATTGTATAATAAGAGCCATGATTGCATACGGAGACCATGCTGTTAGAAAGGCAATTATCATGATGAAAATCATGTACGCCACTTTGTTTTCGGCTTTCGAAACTTGACCCACTCGAAACGCGTTCTACAACGACTTTGTGTTAACAGAATTGTCATTGGGAGTTTTTCACTTACTCGTCGCATCGTTAAAATGATGTTTACGTAACTGAAAGTGATTACTACCAGAGGGAGAAAAAGACCGAATGCGAACAAATATAAAATGTAAGTCGTGGAATTCGAGCTTTTCTCTTCCCAGTTTACTGAACAGCTGAAATTGAAGTTTTATTAGAAGTTAAGAGTCATTGTGGTTAGTACGAGTATTTTGGCAGACGTAAGTGGGTTTTCTTAAGTACTATATGAGGACTCTCAGCCCAAATTCACAATGTGAGAAGAAATAACGTAATTCATTAGCGACTATCACTTGTAACAGCCGTGAAAGCGTACATTCGATCGTTAAATGTCCAATATTAATTATGACTTGGCCCCATGTACTTTTCTTCTCTCTACGTTAAAAATCATTCTTACTATTTAGGACAGTGAATAGGCTTGGACTCATACCAACTTTACTTTCAACAGTTTGCAAATTATTCCTTGTGATTCAATTTTGCATAAAATCAAAATGTAAACACTCAACATTCATTACATTTTAATCAAAAATTTTGTTATTCAAATACTATGCAAATAAATCTCAGGCTTGTTTTACTGGTTATATAATCACTGTTTTCGAGCGAAATTGTTATTTGTACAGTGCCGGACAATAAATTTGGTCCACCATTGTTCAGTCACTCCAAAAAAAATAGATGTAAACCGTGCATCATTGTCAATATAATTGACGTGCAGATTTTTTTTATTGACAAAATACTGACATCACTGTCAGGCATCAAACTGTCACGAATATGCTTTCAGTTACATATTTTAAATAATTTTCTTTTCTCGAGAGAAAAGGATGATGAGAAATCTCTGATATGTCAAAATGACAACCATGCATGACAATCAGTATTGCCAGGTTTGGTCAAATCGGGTGATTTTCATGTTAGTCTGGTGATTGGGTAAAAACTTTTTCAACCAGAAACTTGATTATTTCGTCCATTTTTTTCAAAAAAGTTAACAAAACGCAAAACCAAACTAGTTAAAAATAGTTTTGTTTGTTTTTTACAAGATTTTACTAAACAGGACTGAAAATGACAATTTAGTTTTGTCTTTTTCGAATACTTTTTTAGAAACACAATTAATTCGCTACATTTCGTAAAAAACAAAAATTCAACAAATTTGACCAAAACAGCGTTACTTTTGCCTTTTTCACGTGTTTAAGCAGTTTTTGAAATAAAAACAAAAAAAATCTAAAAATTTTCTTGAAGCAGGCAAAAAAATTACAAAATTAAATCGAAATTGATATTATTTTTAGCTTGTGCCGCTCGATTTACTTCGTTTTTGAACCAGAGGCTCATTTATTTTGCAAAATCTTGTCCAAACACGCCTAAAAATTACAAAAACAATTGATATCAATGTTATATTGTTTGTTTCACTCGATTTCACTGATTTTTTGAGCAAAATAAAACAAAAATAAGCTGAGAAAGCACAAAATTTGTCCGAAAATGATTTTAAGTGCGTTTTTGTACTAAAATCTTAGGTTTTTAACAAAATTTCGCTAAAACAAACTAAAAAAAATCAAGAAATTAATTTAAAATTACATAATTTTTGCATTTCTCGAGCATTTTAGCACGCTTTTCAGTAGGAAACGCAATTATTTTGCAAAATTTTGTTGAAAACAAGTCGAAAAATCACAGAATTGAGCCAACATGTATGTCATTTTTGTTTTTTTCAAAAGTTTAAGCGGATTTTTAAGCTGAAAACTCCGTTTTTTCGTGAGATATAGCCATACAAATCATAATCTGGTGAAAATTTGGCAAATTTTTCAACCCGGATCTGGTGAATTTTATGTTTTTGATCTGACAACACTGATGAGAAAGTTAGTTCACATATTGCCTGCTTTAGAGACAAATGTCATTTGGACATTTGCACTGTATTTTGTTTTTTTTTTTCTTCTCAGAAAGACGTGCAAAAACTAAGTTTTTGGGTTCTAAATTAGACTTCAATTATATTTAGTTTTTTAATTTGTGTTGTATGGACACAAAATGAAAAAAATAAATTTCTATAAAATGCGTTTTAAATATTAAAGTCAAGCACGAATCTAGTATTAATCAATATTAATTTGACTGATTACTAATCAGTGAGTATTAATTCACACCCAAATAAGTGTTCTTACATAACAAAACCATTATCAAAGTTTTCGCGCAATTAATTAAAAATGCGTATAATTTTGCATTAATTTATTTTAAATTCCGCCGTTTAACCCTTTCTAATTAAATTTCCATACGTAAACAGTAATGGATACGTTCAAAATTTTCAATAATGAGCCCGCAATATGAAAATTGATCTCAAACCTGATATATAGCGGTTATTATGAAGGCAAAAAATCAGGCTTCACTTCGTTTCAACAAAGCAATTTTTTTGTCGTGGCAAGTCAATAAATCACCGTTCCGGAAGAATAACAAAATGATAAAATATTTCTCGAGTTACAATATTGGACTTTTTGTTCTCAATTAACATACCTAAGATTGGCGGCTTCATGGACGTATTCACCCCAGCCAATCAAAGGGGGTATTGTTAAACATAATGAATATAACCAAATACTGAAGACTGAAAAAGCAGCGTTGCGCAAATTTAAGGCATTGTTACGGAACGGTCGGGCGATTAATAAATAACGTTCGAATGCAAGAACGGTTAAAGTCGTAATTGACGTGATACCTAAAAGGGATACTTTTTCTATTGTTACAGTTGGTATAACTTACCCAAAAGAGACATTATAAAACCGTAAATGGTACATCCAGTTTTGCCAAAAATCCATTTGTAATTAATTGCCGAAAAAAACGTCCACGGATTTCCTAACACAGATACAAGAAAATCGCTAACAACTAAGTTAAAAAGAATTATATTTATTGGAGACCACAACTAAAATATCAAATTTCAATAGAAAAAATCGTTGATTTTGTGTCAGTACCTGTCGCTCTTTCAGCATAAAAATAATAACTGTCAAATTAAGGCTAAACCCAAAAAATCCGATACAAAACAGCACAACAGCTGCCGCAATATAGCCTTCAACAGGAATTAATAATTCAGCGTCGATTTCAGTCAAATTAAAATTCTTCATGCGGAATTATGACTTCACTTAAATCCACATGAATTTTTGTAAAGTTGAGCACCGATAAGATTCAACATCATTCGCACACGCAAACCTCTGTCTAACTGAAATCTGATAACAAATTTCAGAGTGCGTCGACGCAGTTTCAGATATCTTCTCCGGAAGTAGACTTCGTTAAAACTAACGAGACACTCAATTTTTTAATTAAAACAACATTTATTGGGCTTAACAACTAACTAATTATACTATTTACAAAATCGAATTTTCAAGAAGCAGGAGTCGCTTCCGGTGTTTTCTTATTCTGGACGAAAGGGCTGGTAATTAGCCTTGCAACGTTTTGTAAAACATTTATGGGAATCTGGAAAGAAACAACAACAATTAGGAAAGAAAATACGATTACGGTCGAACTTAAATGATTGATAGGCTTTGTTTTGTAAGAAAAACAAGCTGTTGCTCTTGTGTAACAGCCGATTGGATGAATTGTTAGTACAATATAGTTTGTTCATCAAAAACTAATTAAACTTTCAATTTTGCAACTTCAGTTATTCCTGTGTCATTATTTTCGGTTAAAATACAGGAAGTAGGCAAGATAATTTAATTAGTGTACTTATTAACACCAGTGTGCCTAATATATTTTGACATATTTTGCTTATCAGTCTTCCTCATAGGAAAACAATAAAAGTCAAGTACAATATTATAATTTGAAATGCAGATAAGTGTAATTTATGTGCTGGCACAATTTTCTTTCTATAAAAATTTGATATAATGAAACTATTAGCAGAAAATTAATTCTGATGCAAAATGAAGACTAATGGTTAGTTAAATTGAGAGTGATGAAAATTTTAACAACGATATGTTTCATAACATTTTGTTTCTCCTCCATTTATGGATGGAAAGCGTAAATAAAATGGAAATTAACTCTGACGAATTGGAAAATTTTGTTTATAAAAAAATTTGTTGTAAAGTGATTACAAGAGTCACAGAGAGGAAAATTATACAAATTTCATATATTTAGGAACTGTCCTTGCCTCAAAGAACACAAAGAATAATTTCACCAATTGTGAGTTTGTTCTGGTAAATAAACGTATAATAAACAAGTTTGCACAATTTTTCCACGAATAATTGATCGAGCGGTGACTTGAAAAATGTACTTTATTACATCAGAAAAATTGCAATAAATTCCTTTCGAGATAAATCATCTGAATTAATTTGTTGTATTATAAAGAAATCCCTCCAATAACCGTAAATAAGAAGAAATGTTTCCGGTAGCGGCAGATAAACTACAACTTACCTGGAAAATATCATCGATAAATCTTGCAAACATTGATCCAGCTCTTTGCGGATGGAAAGGTGTGGATGGTGGGTCCGGAGTTTCAACTCCAGTGGTAATTCCTGTTATTTCAACAGTTGCGGAGTCTCTTTTTTCATTACTATCATCCGTTTTCGATTCAGGCGAAACGGCATTGGCCGCCACGTCGTTTACAGTCACCTAACCAGGAAAATCTTCATTAGAAAGTTTCAATGATTTTCAGATGTCAACACGACTTTTTATCTGATGAAAGTGAAAATTTACCTTGTCTAATTGATCGCTGGTTGCAGGTAAAGCGATTGCTGATGCTAATAACCCAAAGCAACAGATTAGCAAGAGGGTGTTCGGCATTCTGAAAACAATAACTTTCATTTAGCCTTGAAAAGCCGGCCTAATAATAACGTTGATGAAAAATTGAAAGCGTTGTGAATACTTGAGTGGTTTTTTGTTTAATTGCATGTTAATACAATGTTATTAAGGAATTGTGTTGTTTCATTAGGAAATTCAACAATGATTAATTTTTGGTGAGTCACTGTGGCCAATGATTCTTTGAAAATAATCTTTAGAAAGCGCGTTATGTAAATTAAAAAAAACACCTCTTACTCGTTGCATAAATTTTATTATCAGGATGATGTCCGATTTTCAGTGAAAACACTCATAGGATAATTAAATTCTGGATGACTCCGGCTATTCAATGTCAGGTTTAGGTTAATTTGATACGCTTTATTCACTTGACACAAGTAATTTTAATTAAAATCTCTGAAAATGTGTATTAAATTACCAAAACAAATAAACGAATTGAATAAATTAACTTCTAAGACACTCATTATGTTAATAACTATTAAAACTGTTAAACGTACCTGTTTTTTTCCAAAGATGTGACCACCACAAAATAACTGCTCTGGTTGGTTCGCGATTGTGCGGCAATTCACTCCGTTCGCGAGTTTCTAGTCTGACCCAGCGTTGACTTCTCCTACCATAAGCAGCATGCACTTTCCGTTATTTCCAGAAGCAACATACTTTTTTATTGATAAACTATAATAACTGTTAATGAGATCATTCTTATAATCCGCGGTTAATTTTTTAGGATTTCTCGGTCATTGACTGCACAAAGAAAAAGAAATTTCATAACTCAGATTTGCAGCTACAGTTCCCTACCATTTAGATAAGACAAATATAAAAAATTGCCTGTAATGACGACCCAAAAATTCAAAATCACTGAAAACAAATCGCATTTTTTACTTCAGGAACGCGAAATTAATATTTAACAATACGTTCCGGACGTTTAGCAAAACTTCATTGTCTTTATTAACAAACTGCTTAATTACCATAAAAATGGCGCAATTATAACATCAATGACAGTCATTGAAATTTCTGCAAAAGAGGAAATGAAGCGTTTTGAAAGTAAATAGAAACTGACTCATGTATGATATTTAACTTACTTAATTCAAAAATTTGCATAATTAACATTTATCTATTATAAGCAAATTATTTTGGTTTAAATTTTCAAGTTTTCCAGTAAGAATATAAGAAATAATGCAATAATAAGTTGTATTAAACATTTTATAGGTATGCAACTAGTAAAACAACAACATATTTTGCAATTTGTATCTTTATTTGATTAGTCTTAAAGATACACTGGCCGCCAAAATTTTGCAACTTTCCAAATTGCAATATTTTTGTTATTTTTTGTCGAACAAATTTTTTTTTGTCGACAAATTTTTGGTTGGCTTAAAGAAAAAACTTTGTAGATTATTGTAATTTAATTGAATAACATTTCTAGTTTTGTCTTCTAAATGTGATATTCAAAAAATGAAACCACTGTTTTTTTACTTATTTTTATACTGAGCTGTGGTGTGCGACAGAGACAAACTTAAGTTTTTACTGATTTCAGATTATTGCCTATTCTTTTCTGAACTGTGTATTACATTTTCCACAATTTTAATTCTTGAGACATGAGAGATATAAACCTTAAAAAAAAGGATTACATTTCCAATTTCAATGAATATTCGTATTAAGTGGGCCGAATGTGCCAAAACATCAAAATAGGCGCATGGGGGCTTCCAATAATAATTAACCGTTTTACTTGATGTAATGTTAAGTTTTTCAGATTTTTTGTGTTCAAAGATGTAATTGTGCTCTTTTGGTGACACAAGCAAGAATTTTCGTTTTAACTAACTTTTTATGTAGCTTCCTTTCTGAACGAATATCTAGTAGCATTAGAAAAGCAACGTTTTTGTCAATGTGTTGTATCTGGGACACTAGAAGATAAAATTTTGAAACAAATTGGTCCTCATTTAGAAATAACGGGCACTAATCTAAAATAACTAAAAACTTAATTTTGTCTCTGTTGCACATTACAACTCAGTATAAAAATGTAAAAAAACAGTGCTCTCGTAACATTAACAAGACAAAATTAGAATGTTCTGCAAATAACAAAAATATTACAATGTAAAAAATCGCAAAATTTTAGTTGTCCGGAATTTTGGCGGCCAGTGTATTTTCTGGTAAAAAAACATAAATTTTTCTTTTTTAATTTTATTTTCTTATTATGTTAAATAAGTAGATAAATTACCTACGTTATTACATTGCAATTTTTTCAAGAAAAATATTAAGTAATTGTCATTAAAATATATCTCTAAAAAGTAATATTGTTATTCAATATTTAATCCCAGGTGGCTACTAGAATTTCGGCTCTTTAATAAAACACAAAAGTTTATTTTAGTTTGTATTGAGTAGAAAATTTAGTACAACTAAAAATTTAAATACTTCTAAGTACTAAAACATCACATTCGATATTAAGAAATTACTAGGCAGAAACTCCAACTGATTTTGACACAGAGAGAGATCCACTGGCCCCTCCCGCAATACCACTTACAAACTTACTAACAGCCCCTAGGGTGGAGATAGGAATCTGAAGCAAAAAAATATTTCAAACTTCAAATCTTTGTAAACCTAATTCTACTTACATTAAAAATATCATTGAAAAATTGCGGATTGGCAGTTTTCGTAACCGTGGCAGTGTAACTTCCCGACGCCCCGCCGCCTCCTCCTCCATACCCACCACCATATCCTCCACCGTATCCTCCGCCATATCCAAATCCTCCGAAACCGCCCCCATAGCCTCCTCCAAATCCACTGCAAGAAATATTATTGACACAAACGTGAAATCCAAACTTACACATTCTTATAATGTACACGTTGATGAAGATGAGGATGATGATGTCCGTGTATTTTAGTTTTTTGCACGTACGTTACTGTTTTTGGCACAGTTTCAACTTCAGTAGCATAACTCCCTCTAACTCCCACTGACGCAGGAGCCGAAACTTCTTTTTCAATAACAGTAGGCTGGGCAGGTACTCTTATAGTTTTCTCGACGGTTGTAGGAACTCGGATTGTCTTTTCAACGTAGGTAGGAACTTGGATTTTCTTTTCGACGTAATTAGGAATAACGGTTCTTTCTATGTAAGTTGTTTGGGGTTTGGGTTGTTCAGCCACAACTTCAACTTCTTTGTGAACGACGGGAGTTGCAATCACTTCGACTTCTTTGTGGACGACGGGGGCTGAAGTTTTTACGGTTAACTTGCCTGTGGCTACAGCAGGTGCTTTGTGGGATATTTTGGTTATGTGGGTTTCACTACCACCAGATGAAGCTCCCGCGAATGATCCGCCGACTGAGCCGGAAGCACTGGTGGCTCCTCCAAGACCAGCTCCGGCCGAAGCACCGGCACCGGCGGTGGCCCCTGCATACAAGCCGCCGGCAGCTCTACCTAAAAGATCAGTTTTGTCATCAAAAATCTTACAATTTTTTTAATTTTTAAACTCGTGTCGTGGACAAGTTGGAGTGAAAAATTTCAGTAAAGAAGTAGAGGATTTTTATTAAATCCGGATTTCTGGTACTTCAGAAACCTCAGTTAAAATTTAACTGTTTCAAAATTGTTGCTAAGGCAAAGTCTGTCTATATTTGCTTGAATTTTATGATACACTAGACTAGAAGCAATTAACTTTTTAAGCCTTTAGCGATAAAGAAATCTCACATTTCAATTGTAGAGGTTTATTTTTTGCGAGGTTTCTTCAATGGCCCTCTAGTCACTTTGGTAACAATAGCTTTACAAACACTCTCATTAAAACCCTCATAAACTAGTTTGATAAGACAAAACCCTAAAATAGACGGATTTTAACATTTATCTGATTGGTGTTTCCAGAAATCGGGCCTAAATGGTCTAAATTGAAACACGAAAAAAAATCAACTTTAAACCGCTTTGGTTATTTTTATATATAGTTAACATTAACGAGAAATACAATAGACATTTTAGTATACTCGTACATACATTTACAAGTAGAAATTTTTCTGAAAAACTGACTGTCATAGTTAACAGTATAGATGTCACCCGAATAGATAATAAATTATTTAATAAAATGAGAGCTTGGTGTGTTTTTTAAGAGTAGGTACATTTTTTCTAAAAATTTATTATTAAAATTTATTATAGTCCCATAAAGTGTAAGAAGATGAATGCTCCGCCCATTTTGAATTGTTATAACTAGTAAGTAGATCTATCGTATCAGAGCAAAAATTATACTAAACAATTTTTTCCGCGGTTTCATGAAACAAATTCAGCTACAATAATAAGATGCATGTTTTACATTGAGTTCTGTTACGCAATACTTATTCTGATTTGGGTAAAAGACACTGAATTTAGGTTTAAACTTTAATTTCAAGAAATTTTCAACGTGACATTTTAAAAATTAAAAATGTAATAGTTTGACTTACGCTCCTTTTAATTACAGTTTTTATTAGTAACCACGTAAGGGCGAGGCATTAATTAAGTTATACAAGATATTTCAAAACTCACGCCCCAGAGAAAATTTCAAGTAAGATAAGATATTAGGAACATGAAAAAAATATTTATAAATTCTATGTGTCATAGACTGTTAATTTTGACATTCATTTTTTGACATTTGACATTTTTTATGTCCCTTTAGTGTTACTAATGATCTTGAATGTTTTTAATACTCCAATTATTTAGTAAAGGTACAACAATTTCGCTAATAAATCCACAATTAACGTTAAACAGAATTACAATTTAGGATACAGCTTCCTAGTTTCCGCTTCTAATAATGTTGCAAAAAAATTCGAAAATTATTTTTCCAAATAAATAGAGACAAAAGGCAAAATTTAAACACTCATAACTTCGAAATGTTTATACAGTATGTCCTTGGATTTGGAAAATTTATTTTTGTTTTTACGCTATAAAACTGCAAAGAAAAAACATTTTTTGCTTTACCTGAAACTAGCAAATCAGTAATTAAAACTTTATTATTTTAACTCAGTAGGAAGAAAAGTTCATTTTTCTCTTGATTTTGGACTGGAATCACATTGGCGGTTTTATTATTTTGACAATGATGTCACTTTGATAAATAAGTTTACGCAACTTCTTCTTCTTGGATCTTCTTGGTATGGAAACGATGAACAAAAACACGATTAGCCCGTCACACCAAACTTTTATGTGCTATTAAAATAAAAGTTTGGTGTGACGGGCTAATCGTGTTTTTGTTCATCGTTTCCATACCAAGAAGATCCAAGAAGAAGAATTATTTCAGCTTAAAAAAATTTTTTTTATTAGAGCCAGTATTTGGTTGAATTACTTTGATTTAGCTTGATTCCCAACTTAAAGTTGAGCAAAATCGATTCAAAATATTACAAATTGCTTTATTTCAGCCTAAAATTAAGATTGAAGCAATTATACTAATAAAATATATTTGTTTTGAATTAATTCTGTATTAAAATCGATTAAAATTGGATTGAAAATAGCTCAAATTGCTTTATTTTAGAAGAAAACTCTTATTAGAGCCAGTATTTGGTTGAAATACTTTGATTTAGGTTGATTCCNGATTTAAAATGCAGAGAAAAATTATTCTCAGTCGAAAATCAAGAGAAAAATTAACTTTTCTTTTCACTGAATCAGAATAATAAAGTTTCAAGTACAGATTTGCTCGTTTCAGGTGAAGCTGGTTTTCCTTTGTAGTTTTGGCGTAAAATCAAAGATAAAAAATTTTTTCCTCTTGTAAATTCAATCCGGAGACATACTGTAGATAGAATTTTTTTAACATTTTTTTCCATGCTTGTGGTATCTTAACTTACATGGCATTTTTCTCTAGAGCGCGAATTCTGAAACACCCTGCATTTAATAATTTTTACTATAACAAGTTTTATTTGAATTAAATTTATTGTTATATTTGTTAAAATTTATGACATTTGACGTATGCGGTACCCAAATCGCTTGAAAATGGCTGAAAGTGCATTATTTTCGAGGAATTACGTTAATCTATAACATTTTTTCACTTAAAAACGAGAGTATGCAGTCAGTGATGACAAAAGTATAGCATAAAATGTTGCCAAAGTTGAATTTTGTAGAATAGTTTTTGCTATCAACAAAATCACCCTCAAAACGTCTCTTTACTTGTGACAAACAAAATAATATTCTTGATAATTTTATTTATTCAACATTGTACTTACTACCAACTACCACCATTTGGTAAACGATTATTAAATCGAGTTGGTCTACTTTTATTCATAATATTTATTTGGTGCGTTACAATTCTTGTGCAAAAACTAATCAAGAGTTTCTACTTCGCTACTTTTCTGTTTCTTTTGAACATTGGGTCGTCTAATAAGAGGAAGAATATTAAGAGGATCCAATCTCGTAGTCTCGTAATGATATTTATAACCAGATCTATTACCGCTTGAATCTACTGTTCCTCCAAGTCCAGCTCCGGCCTGTTGTCCGAAAGGAGTTCCAGCTTCAGCGTGAAGACCTCCATCTGCTGCATTTCCGCTCAAAAGACCTCCAAGACCAGCAGATGCGTGGTAACCGAGGAAATTAACACCGACGTTTCCATTATCGAAAGTAAATGGAGCGGGCTGAAATAGTCGTTTCAGAACAAAAAGTACTAAAATTGAAAAAAACTTACAGCACTGCTTTCAAAACTTGCTGAAACCGACGAGGATTTTGCGACATTTGTTGGAAGTGCGTTGATTAAAACTGGGAGGAATAAAGTTGTATGTAGAAGTAACCACATTTTCATCTAGAATAAAATCAGTAAAACACGAAAGTGAGACTCGCTGCGATACTTTTATATTTTTGGAGGTTGACACGGAAGACGCTTCTTTTGTGAGTGGTGAACAGAGTTGGACGTGAAATGGGTACAAACAAACCTTTTATTGTTGCTATTTCAAGGATCAACAAGTCATTTAAAAGTATCACCTCTTTATGCACACTTACGACATTAAAATTACTTTGATGAATCAACAGTGAAAATTTCATTGAACGAGTCCACAGTATCAACTCAATCAAAACAAAGTTCAATAATTGTAACAAATGTCAGTTTTAATAACATTATCTGATTGTTTCGCGTGGCCATTATTGTACTTATATTGTCAGATATCATCTCCGTGCTCATCCTAATTAATTTAATTATTGTTATTACAAAATTGTTTCTACGAGGCTTCCTATACATTTTAATGAGTTGAAAAAATTTATCAAGGAAAACGAGTTAGATGATTTGACGCAGGTTCTGTTTACATGAGCAAATAAATTAAGCAGCAGCTACTGACGTCAGAATTATTATAATTTTGTTATTAGAATCCCCTAAATTCTGTGCGAATCTCAAATCAACAAATATTTTTGGGTGGTTCCCATTAATATTCGATGAATTAATAAAGAACAAGAATGTATCAACAAGAATTTGTTTATGTGCATGACATTATAGATCAGAGAAATAAAATTATACTGTGTAATAACAAGTCTAGCATTACTTGTGGTTTATATTAAATTACATTTATTTTCCCTTTAAAAAGATATTATGTAAAAACAAATGGTTAAAGAAATCTACAGTGTTGTTTTTTCATATGAGTATTTTGAACAGATGATGTGGATTTGTTGCACGACATTTTACAAAAACTGGTACAAAATCACCATCAAGAACAAAAAAAAGATGTAATTTGTTTACCTATTGTTACTTATAAGATCAGTAATTTCTTGAATTTTAAAATAGTATCCACTCAGATATACTTCAAATCAATTTCTTAATTTTTTAATTTTTAGATTTAGGGCCAATTGACAAAAAATCGAATGAAATCGTTGTTAATTATAATATAAAGTTCCTGTTTATAACAACCTCCTTGAAACTTGAAAATGGAAGTCATTAAATTTTTATTACATACCTGCAGTTGAAAATTTAGAAGATAGTAAACAAAAAAGTGTATTCAAAAAAATTAACAAAGAGTAAAATTGGTAAAAATTCCATAATCCATTAATAATTAAATTAATTACTAATAGACAAACACTTAATTGTATATGCAATAATTATTGTTCTCTCAGGTGCAATTAACTCATTACCTATACGAGTAAGTATAAATAAAAAATGCACTCAATTCCAAAGCAAATGTCCTTTAATACAGATTAACGTATTAAGCTAAACCTACCCTTGATTATTATCTTATCTTCTTTTTAACACTAACCACAAGTGAAGCACAATGAAGAAACTAACACACTGTGAACGAAATTCCAAAAGTGTGAATATATACGTCAGTACCTGTTGAACCTGAGAAAATAAAAAGTTTTGGAGCCTCCGGCTTTGTTGATGGTCTCACGAAGGTCAGAAGTAGATGCTCTCAAGATAACGTGATTAACATTTTGCGGTTCTAAGTCATTATTAAGTATTTACAAAAAACTATAATGACTGGAAATTCTCAGTCAGTGTCGGGTGTGAATCAAGGGTTGCAAGAGATTATAAACCACCCTAATGGGTTATTATTAATTGGGTTTTTTTGGCGAAAACCTGAGATGTTGGGAAATTCCCCACGTGAAATTACTGTTAACGGCATAAAAACAAGAATGTGTGGAAAAATTCAATGCGACGCCAGTGTCTAATAGTTATTGATTCCTTTCAATCAAACAATTCTAGAGATATTTCGCTTCCGATTTTCTCAAAACACAAAGTTTCGTCATTATTGTTTCCCGAAATAATGCGAAAGAAGCAAGGTCAAATCTGTGAAAACCAGAAACACAATCTTTAATTGAAACACGTCACTCTAATTAAGTCTTTAACTGCCTTTTTTAAATTCATTAAATTCAACTTAATTGTATTTACTTTAGCATAACTGAAAATGCTTGGTTTATTATGATTAACTTATCGCTTTAGCTTTCCATGTGTTATACGATTTTCGAGAAAAAAACAGTAACCTGGATACTGCTAGTTATTAAAAAAAAACAACATTTAACGTCATTTTGTCAAAATGGCTCTTGGAACTGGGGATTTGGTTCTTCTTGTGGTAACAGTGGTTATTGTGGTGGCTGATATTATTTTAAGCCTTTGTGTTACTTTTGCTTTACCTAACCATGCGAAAAGACCTGGTTGGTTTTCTGCAGACGGCAGAGCTCGAACATTTAAACAAGCTGCGAATGTTTGCCCATGTTTGGAAAAAGTTTTTCCTGAAGGAACTAAATCAAAGATTACATTCCACAAAATTAAGAAGATAGCAGGGAACAAGAGATCAGTTTCTGAAGATTTCATAACTCAACAAATTCGGGAGTATCCGTTTTTGGTATCGTTGAGTATTCCTGCATACAGTGACGATCCTACTGAGAAATTATTTGCTTGCAATGGTCTAATACAAAATACAAATTGGCTTGCAACAAGTAAAAGACAATATAATTTTGCTAACTGTTTAATATTTTTTTTTTAGCCCACACCTGTGTTCGAGATAAATCCGAATGGTTTAATCTAACTGTACGCTCAGGAAGCGCGTTTTGGTCAATAGATGGAGTCGAACATTCTGTAATTGACGTTCGTGAAGATGCCATTGATAATCTAGTTATGCTAAAAGTCACACCACCGTTTAGTGAAAATTTACTTCCATTTCCGCCACTCAAACATTTCTATTACGGAAATTGGACTTACGGTGTTTCATTCGGCTGGGATGATAACATGTACCAGAAAAACTTGACGTCTAGATACAAATACAAGCCTTTTGAAGTGGAAAAATGGACTTCCAAGACATGTGATTCCAAAGCCAGTAATATTTGTTATATGAAGAAAAGAAGTGAAATTTCCAGCAAACCGTTGCTGACAAGTTGTCATCAAATACTTGGAATGAGGGCAATTAACAATAATGCATTTGTTTCGACAGCTCTAAGTTACCCTAATGATAAAGTTGTTGGCGATTGTTTACCAATATATGAAGATGCTTGTGGTTTAACTGATTTTGAAGTTTGTTAGAGCTATTAATTTTTTGTGGATTAGGTGTTTCATGTATTTGCTTGAAGGAAAATAAATTTGAATTGAAATGATAAGTAAAATAACATTTTCAATTTTAACAAATTCCTTAAAATAATTATGCTTTCATTAAACAAACAAATAAAAAAATAGTTTGCGGTTTAAGTTAGAATTTGTACCTATAAGTGGTCATTTACATTAATTAAAAAACTAATTTACTTCAGCAATTGAAAAAAAAAACAGAATTTAATATAAAAACTTTATGCAACCCAAAATACACCAAACAGTGTGCGGTTGTATGTTTGGTTGACTATACAATATCTACACAATTTTATTAATATACCATAAGTTTATAAGGTAGAAAATATTCGTCATTCCGCAGCATTGGTAGCTTTAATAAAACTAGAATTTTCTTTCCATTTCTTATACAGGGTGTTTTACATAATTTTACGAGGCCTGTGCCTGTAAGATGCAATCAATAATACAAACTCGATTACAAATTTTGAAAAATTGAATAATCTTCTCTAGTTTGTTCACCCTTTCAAAAATTACTACATTTTTAGTTAGTTAGTGATTAAGTTAGCTAAACTAAAAGTATATTCATGCCGTCTTTTGATAGAACAAATGATAATTGTTTCTGAAAAAGTGCAGTTTATGACTATTAAGAAAACAGTGATCAGTTTGACAACTACTGTCATGGGTTTCCAAAAATTAAATAATTAAATGTGTATTTTTTGTATCTAGTGTTTTGTGACTTTTGTATACTATTTAGTTGCGTACATTAGGGGCAAGCCTCGTAAAATTGTGTGAAACACCCTGTACTATAATTATTATTTGTTTTTCACATTGTGAAAACGTTTTTGCACTTTCTTCTATATCATTAATTCATTATATTTATTTCATTCTGTAGATTTATAGCAGTATTTGGTAATATTAAAAATTCAGGAAAAACCCCTCTATCACTGAACGCATTTTGTAGCAAGAACTACGATGACGTAAATAAAATTTCTAGATTTAAGAAATTTTCTTTCAAAATTGTTAAAAATAAAATAAATCTTACTTAGCCATTTTTAAAGATCTTATCACAATATAACAGTAGGCAAAAAGTAAACAAAATTGAATAACTAACCATACCTACCTAAATAATTTCAAAATTAAAATTTTTTTTTATTTGAAAAAACACGTATGACTTTTTCTACTATGTAATGGAGGAAAGAAAAGAATGCAAATATGTCTCTTAATAGTAATAAGAAATGGATTTAAAATTCCTATTTTTTTATTGCATTAGGATAAGGAATAACAATCAATAAATTTTTAAATTAAATTGAGTCACATATTATTGTTTCTAGAGCTTGAAAACAACTGTGGGAAAAAAACTTGGTTAAAAAAACAATAATATATAAAAATAAATTTATTTTTGTCGGTGGTAATAAAATATCACAAAAGCATAATCACTAATACGGGACAGAATTTAAATGTTATATAAAATAAATACTTCACGGTCGTCACTTAAAAATACACATTTATGATATGAACAATGAAGAATGTGGAAATGAAATTTTAACAACATAAAACCTTATTCTACACTAATCATCAATAACACTTAAAATATTGTACAATTTCGTTAAAAACTATTGTGTATTTACAGTTTCTTCAGTCGAATGCACATAAACCGGAGCCGGTTTTTGCTGTCTCGTATGATTATTATTATTGGCGGCTTTATTTGCCCTATCGAACCTCCTCGCAGCAAATTCCCTTAAACTTTGAAATGCGGGTCTTGTATTTTGCACCAAATTATTCACGGCATTAAGAGTTGTAATCGGGATCTGTAAAACAAGACAGCCGGTTAAAGAACACACCAACATTAAACCGGAATGTTTTGTGATTCTAACTCTTTGAAATGGTATCATGAAGCATGAATTTGAGACTTACTTAGTGCTTACATAACCGCTGTAATAACATTCGTCCGATTTATCCTGAAGAAGTATTCACCTTGCCCGATTTGTTTCTGTTAAAAGTGAGCTAATTAGGAATTAATTCACTCAAAAAGTTCAAATTTCGGAATGTGTGTCAAGAACGCAAAAATTTTGATTGACTTAAAAGCTTTATTCTCGTTTCTCGTTTTAGCGAGTACCGTTTGATACTTACATTGAATATGTTGTCGATCAATGGAGATCTTTGGTCGGTTTGCCTTTTACCACGGACATCGGAGTTGCCAACTTGGACTTGAAAATTATATTCGTTGTCCTGAAAAACAAACAAATTTTTATTACATGCTAACAAATTTAATGGTAATGTTTGTCGCCAAGTGTTATGACTGGCAGTTCAAATAAACAGATTTTATTAATCCTAAAATATGTAGCTATTTCTTGGATCAATAAATATTTGTTGCATAAGATCAGAAATACAACGAACTTTCTCTGCTGAGTGAAAATAATTAGTTCTTTTCTCCATAAATTATTCGAAATGTTAAGATAACGTGATTTGGTTCGAGAAAAGAGAAATTAATTTATTTATTGCATCTCAGATTACCATAATCATAAACTGTTCTTTTGTTTAAAACTTTTACTGTAAAAGACGTAATCATAAATTAATTAAAAAAAAATTTTTATTCAATCTTCGGTAAATTAAGCTTCCCGGCTCCACTGTGACTCCGGGAAGTAAATTATTGCAGTATCAGAGCCGGTAAGTAACTAAATAAAACCGAATTGTTATTTTTGTTGCAATAAAACGTCAAATATTTTTTTTTAATTTTCTTGAAACAGTATGAAACATTACAAACATAAATACATCAGATTTACAGGACTCATTTCGATGTTAAACATGTCATCCATACTGTAATATTTGCCGGACTTATGTCTTATAACGTAAATTACTATTAATAGTATAAATAATCCTGAAAAACTCAAAACTTATTAATTGGACAAAATTACAAAGCACGTTTGTAAGAGTAGTAAAATAGGTAATAAAAAAAATACACTAATCTTGAGTCATAAAAACTGCGTTTGATTTAGGTGCAATAAAAATCTTACCCAACTATTATTTAAAAAAAGAAATTTCTAGATTGCAACAAAACAGAAGATTTTTAAATTGTTTATCTTTGCGCTAATTATTTTTTTTTTATTTAATAACACTGGGTGTGGAATAAAATTTTTCACTTCACGCGAGAGCACAATTATTTATTCAACTTGAACCAATTACACGTATGGTTATTTAATCGCTTGTGATAAATAATGTTGCACATTAGTAATTTCTAGAAAAACACTTTGTTTCTGATTTGATTTATACTTTCTCACCTGTTTGTACGAAATGTCTCCGAGGCCTTTTGGTGCATCTACGACTCCTGCAATTTGGAGAGCTTGCGTGGTAACTGCTGTTATCAGCAGCATCCAAACGATTTTGTCCAAAACGTATATTACAACCTGAGAAAAAAAGTTTAATTATTAAATTGACCCACATTGTGTAATCGACTATTGCCTAGGTCAGACAGCCGTCTTAGAATAATTACATTGATTGTTTTGTCCTTGATATGAGAACATCAATATTCATCAGAATATTTTATTTATTAAAGCAATTATAAAATTCTTATTAGAGAGATTTTGATTTTTCTAGAATACTTCTACGAGTAACAGAAATGTTTTGCAATTAATTACACACGTGCTTTTCCCAAATACGAGACTCTCTTAATGTTTAGTACCGAAAGGTTCAACGCTTTTAAAATAGAACGTTTCCAGATAACTTCATTAGTAATTTCATATGATAAAAATTCAGGTCAGTTTTACTCGTGAATGACCTATTACGCTTCAAGGTTTGTTTTGTAAATAGAAGCAGTAAAAGAAAAATTTTGTCTTTAGTGAAACATACTCAATATTTACGTTTTCTGACAAACAAAATTTATTATCATTTTGTAATCTTTCAACAAATCTCATTATTGCTTTATAAATTTTTAATAAGAATTAGAGATAAGAAAAATAAATATTGCAGTATACAAGACATTGTTTCAGGATTCATAAATCTTATTGTTTTTGCTCATTGATTTTACAGAAAAATTATCATAATTCAAGGCAAGTCTTCCACTCCTTTAGTCGGATCGGCATCTTTATTTTTTTAAATTTTTATGGTGAAATATTAAAATCCAAATTATAGTTTTAAATTTTAAATAATTTATGTAATTATAAATACCTAATTACAATTCTAATATTTTTATTTATGACCCTGCCTAATCTTTCAGCAGAAGAATAAAAATTCTACTTGTTTTCCTTCAAATTCCACGCATTTTTTTTATGATATTAAACAAAAGAGTAAAAAACTTATTTCTGCACTCAAGTGTGAAGTTGAACTTCACACATCAAAATCAATACGCGAAGTATTTTAGTATTTTAAATAATTAAATTAAATATTGTAGAAGAAATGTTGTTTATATTATGTGTGCGAAACTGTTTTTATAATGCTTAAATGCCTTTCTTGGCATATTCTTGTGTTAAAAGAGTCGTTTTACACACTTAAAAATAACTACACATTTCTAATAAAAAAAAAATTGATAATATTTTGAAGTAGGTAACAAACCAAAATTGTTAAATAATAAGCCAGATCTATACAGGGTGTGCCAGGTAAGATACCAGGAACATGGCATTCAAGATAATTAGCATCACTAAAAAGAAAAAATGTCGAAAGTCAAAAAATAAATGTCATCATTGTTTGACAGGCAGAATTAAAGAATTAAAAAAAAATTCCATGTCCCTGGTAACTTATTTTTTTTTTAGGACGATAGTCTGAAACACCCTGTATACAAACTATCCTAAAGATGAAACGATTGTTAAATATATCTTACAAACTTCCAAACATAACAAAAAGAAGAACAAAAAAAATTTAAAAAAGTCGCATCATCAAATTGATTGACTCCAAAATAAACTAACGGTTTGTGGTTTATTTATTGTTTTTTTTATAACAGTTTATAACAATGAAATTTATGACAAAGACTTTGTGCTGCTTATCTCTTTTCAATATTCATTTATAAATGAAGAAATGGTATTTGTATAGTGATTTTAAAATAATTGAAACCAACTTTTTTATACATAGACATATTTAAGCATCAAGAAAAAATCAAAATTTATCAAAATGGACAAACACTTTGTGTTGTTAGGTATTTTGTTCCAATCTTATCTTCTTATCATTATTATGCACTGCACTATATCTATTTAAATAAATGCTAAAAATAAACCAACCATTTTAATGTATTTTGGCGAGTATTTCATGGAGAATAATAAAATATTTGGTGAGGAAAAAAGTTAATTTATCAATGTTCAGTCGATAACATAAACTGTTAGAATAATAATTGTATTAATATAATAAATACAAATTTTTCAAGCGTTGTTTATGTAAATACGTGCACTTCTCCACGTGATATTACAATCGTTGAGTGATTAAATAAGATCATGTTCTCCTTACCTTGCTCATTGTGTTGTAGTTAAAACGTGTATTAAAATACAAGTTCTAAGCACTCTATCATTCGATATCTGCTTCTCAGTGTCACTATATACAAAATACTGAAATCTGTGGCAGCGCTAGAGATAATATAACAGTACCACCAACACTGGATCAGGTAGACTTCACTACCTTCATGTCACTGTTCACCGAATAGCAGGCACCTTTCTCTCGATCACTTTCACATTTCTTCGTGTGGTTAGCCTCAGCTGTCTCAAAGCAATGGAAAGAATCACCGGCCTTTAACTTCATAAATAGACTCGACGATTCAATTATAAACAATCACAAGAACATGACTAACACTAATCAAACACTTTATTTAAATTGCAAAAAGACACTCTTATCAATTTCAATGAAAATTATTGAATGGCCTAAAATTAGACGGTGTGCCAAATGGTGTCTTTATTTCCATATAGAACACTGAATTAATTAAGGACAATTAACCAAAAAAGCAACTGTACTTGAACGAGGAAATCATTAATTTCATAAAGTACCATCATAGTCCGTTAACACTCGAACCTAGGTCATTGATTCTTTCGCACACTTTTAAAAATTAATTAACAATATGAGAAAATCGAATTTTCGGTGACCTCAAAAGTGTTGCGATGGCGGAAAACAACACGAAAATTTTACTATTTTACCTCGACATTTAAAATTTGTTTTAAAAATCTAATTCAATCAAAAACGATTACGTAAACGTGAAGAGGAAATATTTTTAGCAAATTTTTTTGAGTCAGAAGAGCAAAAATTTCCTCTCGTTGCTACAACTAACAAAATTAAGCATTTCCTAACATCTTACCTAATTCGCACTAATTCTACTTGCAAATAATTGGCGGATTGAGCAATATCAAGATTGTTAGCAGGGTTGGTGTTGGTCCTACTTACCTTGAATAATTCTACGAATTTTTTCCTGTGCTAAATCAGAATTGACGTAAAATTCGACACTATGCGTCACTTTTTTCCTTTGATAATGTTTGACGCACGTGAATTTAATTTTCGGCAGTTTATCTGTCTAATTCCGCCCAGTTTATGGTTTAGTAATTAGGAAATGTTGCTAAATTAGACGCTTGAAACAGGTTATGACGGGCGACAGTTCAATGTAAAGGAGAAAATATATCAATCATCTCGAAATAGAGTCGATTAAAAAAATTCTGAGACGCGATTTGCGTCAAACATTTGTGAATTTGAATTTAATTAATAAAAAAATTCACACCAAATGAAATTAATATCAACCGGCCGGTGCTTTTTTATGGTTTCTAAGTTTCTAGTTTATATTTTGTCTTAAAATAAAATGAAATAAAACTTCTACACAAATGTTTATTATTATATGCGGTTATTCTGTTAATTCGATTGTTTATCTGCATTTAAAACAATGATGAAAATGTTTTTGCAGTTTTAAGTTTTCCATCACAGTGTTTGTGAGTTGCTCAGACGAAAGTGTTTTGAACTTGTATCTATTTACATAAAAATATCTTTGAAACTAGTTAAACAATAAGCGTAAACAAATAAACACTATCTAATTATGTAAATTAGTTTCGAGAAGATTATTTATTGTAATTTTATAAATGTATCCATCAAGAGTATGTCAGCTTAAAAAGCTTTCCTTGACTCATTATTCATCACACAATCCTGAAAAAAGTTCAAAGAACAAAACGATCAATATTGGATAATTATCAATAATATTTGAACGTTCTATTAGTAATTCATGTAGCATTTGCAGAGTATAAACTCTTGACCTCTACAATGTTAACAATAAAATCGTGATTCAATAAACGTTACAATTAATGCAATAAATTATAATGAAACTTATAGTTGAGTTTTTTTATTGAATAAATAATTCATCAGATCAAATAAATAAAATTAAGGATAATTTAAAAACGTTTAAAATGATTTTATAGGTTTTTTAAATCGTATTTTGTCAACCAAGGACAACATATTTTCCCAACATTTTTCCTGCGAAAATTAACATAAGGAAATAAAACAATCACTTGGGTCGCAGTTTAATTCGGTCTCAATTCCATGACCCAAACCCTTTGAATATTTATGCGTTCTATCGAAAGAAATCCTACAATTCCGGTTAGAAAAATACGAGTTTCTTTTTACTTCTTCGGAACTGACACAGCTTCCGTGTTTTTCTTATATAACTGATCACTTCCGATAGGTTTCTCCCCACTCAACTATGAAAGAATTTTGCTGAGAGAAACTGTAAAATCGCTATTCCTTTGTGTACATTATAAACTTGATCGACAGTTACCGTTATAGCTTGCGATCCGGAAACAATGCAAGCAATGTGAAATGACAAGACAGTTTCATGCACACCTTTGATCATGTAATATCGGAAATGTAACACTATAATCGACGAGTTTATAAATTTATGGTTGTTTTTCCGTAAATGGAAAGCATTTTCCAACTTTCTCCAATTTTGCGGGGGTTTTTGAAGAATGACGTCAATTCCTTCCGTTGACAAATTTTACGTTCGTAATCACAAGATTATATTAATAACCTACATGTTTTGTAATCGGATTTGTCTTTTCATAAAATTGAAATTCATATTTCATTTTAATTTTACGATAGCTTTATATAATAAATATGACATAAATTCCACGAAGATATTAAAGTAAAAACCGTGAAATGCAACCATGAGAGATTATGCAGTTAAATATTTACTTTAAAATTATTATTAAACGTAAATACGATAATAAATCTGGTAATGCATTTTTATAACCAAGTCATGTGAGATGTTTTTTAGCTGCTTTCTTTAAGAATGCCGAAAAATTAATAATAAGAAAGAAATATTTTTAGAAATTATTTAAATTTTGTATTGGGGTTAACATAACATGCAACATTATGCCAAGACCGGATTTAACTAACGTAACATAAAAAAGTAATTTTGCTACAAATTAAACCAAAACTTAATATTAAAAACCTAATAGATAGATTTACATTATTATAAAAGTGTATTGATTTTTAGTTATTTATTATACAAGACGATAAAGAAATTGTTTATCTACGAGTGGAAAGGTTTACGAGTGACGAAGTCACGAGTGGACTTTTTTTCAAGAGTAGATGAACAATATTTATCGTCGTGTATAATATTTCGTTTTATTTTGTACTCACCTACCAGAATTTCTTGAATATAAACAGTAGATAAAAATTACTTTATTTCACTAGACCATAAAAGACTACTTTATCTACTGAAATTAGTTGATAAAATATAAACAGTAGATAAAAAATGGCGCAACACAATTTTCGCACTGTAACACTTTTCATAATTTAAAGACATTTTAAAGATACAAATCCTGCTACCGTTTCTTCAATAAATTCTGATAGTATTTTAGATGTAAATAAATATTCATGATTAGATAAAACTAAATCATCTGTTTCTGAGTTTAAATTATTTTGCGTTATTAATTGTTTCTCCCTCCACGATTGTTACCAAACCCCTCACCTACCCTTTCAGTCCTATTTATTTCAGCTTTTAGATCCGCCGCTGTATTATGTACACCGAATGCTCTAGTGTAATGCTAGCTGCATACAAAAAAATACAAAATACGGTATAAAATAATAAAAATTTAAAAAAATATTTATTTCAGCTTTTAGATCCGCCGCTGTATTATGTACACCGAATGCTCTAGTGTAATGCTAGCTGCATACAAAAAAATACAAAATACGGTATAAAATAATAAAAAATTTGAAATTATTTTATCGTTTCTTACATTAAAAAGTCTTTAATTTTATATTCTAACTATTCTAACTAAAAGGAAAACATTTTCTTTATATTTATAAGTGAAAGCATGAAATTTTGTCAAATGAGGCTATCATACAACTCGATAAACTAAAATTATAATTAAATTAATGAATGCAATACGGCGTTAGTTCCAGTTCCGTTTGTAATTAAATTCATTAAATATAAATGTATAAAACAGGTGATAGTAGTTCAAATAAACTTTTTTATTATTATTAATGTTAATTTAATTAATTTATTGTTTGACCGGAAATTAAATCAAGATTAGTTTCTTATATCCGTTACAGTCAAGATGTTATAGTGTTTTCGCCGTTCTACGTTGTTATGGTATAAATAGCATTTAACAAGCTGTTAATATCACCCTAGTATCTAATAGTATCACACAGACTGTTAACGTTATAATCTAATGACTGACGGCCGTTATAATCCTTAACGGACGGAGGTTGTTAAAGATAACTTTTCAACTGTCATTTCACCTCCGTTATTTAAATAACAGTAAGTATGGTATTACAAAAAGAGATTTTAACAGCCCGACTTTCGCTTTAACGCTCGGATTTTTGACAACTTTGACAGTCAAATATTGACATTTTCAGAGTCGGCCCTCAAAGAAATCCCTGGGTCGCTATGACCTTCTTAACAGCACTGAATAACTATTTCATACTTCTATGTTGTTATGGTAAAAATAAAATTTAACAATTTACAATCATTAAGCTGTCAGTAACACCCCAGTGACACACAGGGCTGTTATATTAATTAAGGTTGTTACAAAAACAATAACGCGTAAGGTCGATAACAACGACAGAAGTAAAGAATTTTTGATACGACTCTAACAGAAAGTAAGTTTTTTTTCCAAATTTCGGAAAAGGAAGTAGCCAATTAGGTACCTCTCAGGGAGGTGAAAATGTTTACCTCCTCCATAGAAACGGAAAAACATGCTGCTAGATTTATTGGCGAAACTGGAATATCAAGAAAAATTGCTAGTTTTAAAGTTTTAGGTGTATCGTAGTAAAAATATATGTATTACACTGAAGGAAAGTTTCTTTTCCTTTTTGGGTGGTTACTGTGTTACAAAAGGTCCACCTGTGGAAGGACAAAATACACTTTCCTCCCTTAAGGGAGATATTGTCAATAATCATTAACTTTGCTACACATAGAAAAAGCAATATAGATGTTAAAAGGTTAAATACTAGAAAAAAACCAAACGTTTGCTGTTTATGATCATTTATTCCTTTCCTTGAGGTGTACAGAGTGCACCAGAACTCAGGCCCCAGAAAAAATGATATGTAAGGTAAGATACCAGGAACATGGAAAAATGTTAAATAAATTCTATCTATAAAAATTTTGAAGTTATGAGAGTTTAATTTTGCACATTGACTATTTATTACTGTTGGAAAAATAATTTTCCAGGTTCTTCTGCTACAGGCTATTAGAAGAGGAAACAAGGAAGTTGTATCCTAAATTGTAACTCTGTTTAATGTTATTTGTGGTTTTTGTTGGCAAAATTTTTGTACCTATACTAAATAATTATAAAAAAAACATATGCAAGATTGTCAGTATCATTAAATAGACAAAAAATGTCAAATGTCCAAAAATAAATGTCAAATTTTTTACAGATAGAATTTTTAAACATTTTTTTATGTTTCTATGTTCCTGCTATCTTATCTTACTCGAAATTTTTCTCTGGGGCGTGAATTTTAACACCTTGTATATCACCAAAATTCGTACAATTATCTCTTCGAGATGCTCTGCTTTTTTGGCGATAAGTTTATTATTGGAAAAGTCCAAAGCCATATGTTATTATTTAAATATCCACAATATATGAGAGAACTAACTCCAAAAAACGTTAATTCAAAAAGTAGGTAATATTTAATTTTACTTTATGATAAAATAAGCAGAATTTTATTATCTATTTTGAGTCTATTACCTATAAAACAATTTATTTATTTTTACTTTTTACATTATTTTATTTCATAAATTCTTCCATGTATTAAAAAGAAACTATTAAAGTATCTTTTTTGTAATATGCCTTATATTTCGAAGTTTAAACTTCAATCTCCCTTTATCCAATCCACCTAATAATGCCAAGCCAAATTTCCCCTCTCCTAATTGAAAGTAATAGTAGAGATATCCGTAACTTGATCCTACAATTTTTTAATATCAAAATGTCCACTGTCTAAATTCTTAATTATTACCAAGTTCATTCCTTACACCTATGCCAGCACCAGCACTTTGCCCAAAAGGCGTACTAGCCTCTGCGTGAGGGCCTCCTAAACCTGCTTCCTCGGCTAACAATCCACCAAAAAGACCTGCCGTAGCATGAAAACCTAAGAAATTCACACCAAGAGTGCCTTTACGATAAGTGATTGGAAGTTTAAACTAAAAATTATTGTTGTAAAATTAGCACTCTAAACACAACCACTTTTTACGAAATTTAATCTAGAACTATAATAACTTGATTCGATGAGTTTTCGTCGGATAAGAGCTTCCCCATTGTGAACAATTGAAACAAGTAACAACAAGTAAAATAGTGCAAACATTTTTTTAAACAAAAATGGTTTAGAGATACATAATTATATAGTTCAAAATAATTATTATTCCAAGGGACAAGGTTAATGTTTGAGTACAAAGAATAAAATTTTTCCGTAAAGTAAAAATAAAATGTAAAAAAACAATAAACTTAAATTTCACTTTTTAATGTTAAAAGAATCGACTTAGATAATGAAAATTATTGTCGATTTTTATTGTATTTATTTACAAAGTAATTAAATAAATTAAAATTACAAAATAGTGCAGTCGCTAAACTCGAAGCAATAAATAGTCATGATTTTGTAAACTAAGCTAACGACCATAGCGAACAAATAACTTAAATTGAGCAATCCACATAATTCTACATTTTATCACAGACAATCTGGCAACATTTCCTTCCCATTTACAAAAATTTCGAAATTTCTAACGACGCATTTTTTTGATACTCAGCCCAATTTTTTTCGGAAACCTGAAACAATTTTATTGTAAGTTGAAAAACAAACCAACTTAAAATCACCTTCAAAGCATCTTGTAATTCTATATTGAACAAGCGGACCAAACCCCGCAAATTCCTCCGGAGAATCCGGTTAAACTCACTCCGGGTTATCTTAAACGGCGCTTCCGTTGTCGTAGCATTCGGATCACTACTCACCGTAGTGGTCGAAACTTGTAACTAAAATTTAATTAATCAATTAGTCTATTTCACGTTTCTGCCAACTTACCGGAGCATTTTCCGGAGCGAAATTATCATTAATCAACCTGCTGACGTTGCTTACTGTATTTTTTGTATCTGCCCATTGCTAAAAAAATTCATAGTAATACGAAATAATAAAAAGAAAGGTTCTCACCTCATATACTACCGAAAATAAGGTTCGAAAAAATCCAGGACTGCTTTTCTTCTTAAAAATGAGTCGTTTATCGCGTGCAATTTGTTGGTTTGGTACCTGAAAATTGTTGTAATTTTTGTCATTTAATTAATGCTACTTACATTGTTTTTATTGGGAGTTGACGACTGAAGTGCCAGAGCAAAGCAGGTTGTTATTAAAAATAACAGTAGACTTCTAATTAATAATCTATTCTGCATAGCCTGAAATGGATAATCAATTAATTTCCAAAAACCGGCTTTTAGGTAAGCTTTCTCCGTAATTAAATTTTAAATTAAATTAAATTAATTAAATTCATTGAAATCATGTAACTTTTAATAGTACTAGTGACAATCCCAGTTGTAGGAGTTCTTTATGTAAATTCTTTTGACCTCGCTAAAAATTATCACCAATTTCAAAAACTGATAAAGAGAAAGTTGTCTCAAAACCGCACAAAATAGTTATAATTATTGAGAATTTTTCCGGAATTAGTGAGTTTTTTAAACAGATCACAAACATTGTTGGTAATTACTTAAAATTAGTCGAGCGGAATAAGAACAGACCTACTTAAGTGGTAATTATATCACAATTACACAACCGATTTGCTGTACTTTTGTCTTTAAATTTTAACGATTATACTCGTGATAAGAATAATTTTAAACTGCAATAAAGTAACAAGAAAACCACTTTCATATCGGCCGACATTCCAGATGAAATAAAAATTATGTAAAAGTCCTGGAAGGGAAAATGATTACAAGCCACTTGTTATTCCTGTTTATTAGGTAATTTCACTACAGCTGTTTTAGCTTTTGTTAAAAATGAAAATTTCTAATCAATTTGATAAACAAATAAATTTGCAAATTTAGACTTACAAAACTGCTTAAGAATCCTTATCTATTCACCATGTTATCACTCGTCACTGATTTCTTGTCAACTAACCACCACTACGTCGTACACCTTACCTACTGGCATTCTTTCATAAGAATGCTCGAATAGTTATTACAGGAATCCACCGGCACTTGAAAGTGAATTGAATAAACTGTACACGTAGTGGTAGAGTTTTCCTTTTCTGTCACAAATTGTATGCTTGAGGATCGAAAGCAAATGTGTGTCTTTACTCTCACTGATTGGCAGAAGCCGAGTGATATAACAAGTTACTTTGGGATTTTTGACCGTTAGCTCGATTTTCAGAACCTTGATGACCTTCTCCATTATTATTCATATGCCTTCAAGTAAGAAAGTAATGACGAGACGGATGTAATTGGAAATCGGTGGTATTGCCCAACGAAATTTCGAAGACTCACACCACTTGTGCATCGTAATTAGCTGTTTTGTGATAATTTTATTTTGAAAGTTGGATAAAACTTGAAAATTATATCATTGCAAACTGTCACTTTTTAATGTGTTATCAGTGGAAACTTTCGAATTTTGATTAAATTCGGGTTGCTTTATTGCAAGATTTAGGAATGAATATTAGGTAATTTTTGATGCAACTTTCACTATTGTAAATTAGATGTGTGCGTCAGGGTCAATGATAGACTTGATCTTGAACTTTAATAGTTTTATGGTGAGGATAGAGAATTTTATATTTATAAAATTCAGTGTTAATTTCGAAAAATTCGCTTTTTGTTTAAACTTTAGGCATGGTTATGTCACCTCACATTAGTATAAAAATTACAACAAAATAGTTTACACAAATGATAATTCTAATCGTTTAACATTTATCATAAAAATAAAGAAGAAAGTGAATTAATAGAATAATTAAATCGATATTAAGAAAAAATTATGATAAACTCTCGATTTCCATTTTGCAGAACTAATAAGAATGTTAGGAAGGTATTTCTAAAAAAAAAAGCTATTATCGGTCAAGGATAGCAAATAAAACCACATGTATTCTAATTAAGATTAATTAATTAATACTTTGAGTAAATAAAGAAAATCAGAATGATGGACAATAGTACAACCAACTTTTGTGAACTTCCGTTTGCTTTCGTATAAATTTGATGGGATAGTTTGTAGATGACTAAGTACATTTTGGTTCATTTGAAATTTAAATGTTATAGTACAACCCATTGTGTACATAATGAGTAAATTAATTTAAATTTTTGAATAATTTGTTGGAAATAATAGGTTAATAAATGATGATGGCCTATTAAATAATTACTATTAATTATTATCTGATAACAAATAAACCACCTAACTGACGATTGTTAAAAATGTCTAATAGGTACTTTTTGTAAATTGCTACAAAATTACTTTAAAACTTTCAGAGATACAAAAACATAACAGAAAATAATATCTTAAAATTGTTTTATGTAAAGAAACGTATGATTGTCATATATTTGGAAGAGTTGCTCAAACAAAAATCAGTAATCAGAATCACCTTGTTGAATAAAAAAAACAAATTTTTATTTAATTTATACTGTTTTCCAAATATTAGATAAATTTTGCTTCAGGAAAAACCTATACCTACACACATTAGAAAATGTGAAGCAATGCATGCAATTCTAATAAAATTATGGTTTTACTTAAATCTAATTAAGTTTAATACTAAGAAAAATTATGATAAACTTTCGATTTCCATTTGGAGAACTAATAAGAAATGTATGTATTTCTAAAAAATGCTTCCGTCGGTTAATAATAACTAAATAAAACCACATATGTTCCACTTAGGATCATTTAATTAACAATTTGAGTAAATAGTAAAAAAACAAAATGGTGGAAAATAATAATTAATAGAATCAACATTTGTGAACTTCCGATTGCTTTCATGGAATAGTTTGTAGATGTTTAAAGTTTGTAGATGTTTAATTAAATTTTGGTTCATTTGAAATTGAAATATTATAGTACAACGCGTTGTGTACAAAATGAGTAAATTTATTTACTATTAAATTATTATTAAATTTTTTAATAAT